AATGCTGTTTTTAGGGTTTGTAATCCAAGATACTGTACACTTTAAGACCTGAGCAGGAACGACTGCGAAAAATGTAGCACAAGGTCCTCTGGTAGGAATAGGCATTTTCAGCTTTTTATTTATGCGCGCAGGGGGTGACGGGAACTAAGGTATCATATTGCTAATTATACTGAAAAATTTCAATAAAAACTGCCGAAACAACCGAAATATTTCAATATTTACAAGTGTTAGCTTCCACTCCATGTTTACACGACCGCCATTTTTATTTTTTCAGCAAAATCAGCGATATGAGACCTTATTTCCCATCCTCCCTTGCACACATAAACTAAAAGCTGGAAATTGCCTATTGAACCTACTGTACAACCCTGTGATTCCGGTGCAGTCGTTCCTGGTCAGGTCTTAATTAATTAAAGTGTATATATACTCACTTGGATTACAAACCCTAAAAACAGCATTTCAATTTTACCAAGTAAAGTGCAGAAACCGGCATTATAAAAATGTGTTTTCATTTATATGCACACTTATTCAATATCTGATGCATAACCACTGCCCCCAAACTAAATTATAGTTACCCATTGAGTGGCAGCACTCTCGACTTAATGAGTAAAATCGTCTGGCATTAGACAGAGTAATTACTAAAGTAGGGTACATCAGGATGCATTGCCATTTAAGGAGGTTAACAGGATGCACGGAATTAGACAGAGTAAAATACTAAAGGAGGGTCCATCGGGATGCATTGCCACTTGAAGGGTTAACAAAAAACAAACATGGTTAGAAAGCTTCATAATTAGCCATTGTTCTATGTTATGTTCACTGGTTTTAGTATGTGCTCTTTTAGAGCGAGTGATAGAATGCTTCGGCTTCAATCGCTGTTTTAATAGCAATTAACCTTTTTTGTGGCAATGTGCTCAGATTCACCCCATTTTATTATTTTATTCTGTCTAATGCCAAACGATTAATTTTACTCGTCAGGGGGAGAGTGCTACCACTCCACATGAGTTAATCAACACAAGACAAAAAAAGATTTGTTCATTTTCAGGTACATTTTTATAACATCAGTTGAAGCTGGAATAGTAAACTCTTTGAAGTTTACCGGCCTTCTTAACCATGTTTATTTTCTAATAATTACAGTATAATAAAGTAATCATGCAATGTTGCTCGTACAGTTAGGGATTAATAGTACTCGTGATGTTTGGAAATTTGCCAAATTGAACTCGCCCCGGCGGCTCGTCCAATTTTAGCAAAATTTCCAAACATCACTCGTACTATTAATCCCTAGTTGTACTCGCCATTGCCTGATTACCTATACTAATATCCTGTGTAACAAGTAAACAGGACACTTCCGGGCAGGGACAAGTTGACAAAATTTTGTTGGTATAATTGGGCTAACAATGTTTTTTTTTCAGGGATTTTTTAGGGCCGTAAAACGGCCCCAAAAACTCAATCTTGAATTGAGTTTTGAAATTCAATTTTCTCATCAAAAGATTTTGTGCAGTAAAATGAAGTTGTTTGAGTTAAATTCATTACGTGTGCAAATTAGTTTTCAGTTGAAAACCCGAAAATTGATTAAAAATGGCTGGAATTAATTCATTTCACATCACAAGAAAAACAACACATTCGCCATCTTAAACCAGTTTATAGTGTCCCTTCGTGCCCCTGTTTTAACACATTGCCTCTCAAATACACTAAAGTGGGCACAGGTTTCAACCTCCCGGTAGGGGGGGGGGGAGAGACAGCCACCCCAGACACCAGCTGTTCAGCTAAACTCAATATTCTCTGCAAAAACGGACCCAAGAGAAAATCCTGAAAAAAACCCTGGCTAAAGAAACTAATCAAATATTTGGACTATGGACCTTCAAACTTATGTCAAGTATATATTTGATTGATTAGCTCAATAACTGTTTTTTGTCGATTTCGACGTTTGGTCAACCTCAGGATAATGACTCAACATTGTGTTGCAGCCTGCATGTGGACATGAATATTTCCGTTTGTCTGACAATAACACTTGTCTTCATTGTTTTTAATCCTTGAATGACAACATATTCATTGGTCTCGTTGTCCTAACTCAAGGAAGATGGATGACTTTGGGACAGAATGATTTGTTCAATGTTGCTGTTCAGATATCAAAATTTTATATGGACATATGAACTTCATTGTTTTTACTTCATCTGGCTCACTAGTCACAAATGGGCTCTGTTCATATTACCTGGCCAGGCGGGATACAACATTTGACAGTATGTTGTATCCTATCCTGCTACTATCCTGGCTAAGTGCGAGGTTTCCATTGCCAGAATCCTGGCCATATGGAAGCCAAGAAATTCACCGTACACAGTAAACACTCTATCCCAAACAGGGAACATGAATGAGGCTTCAAGCATGTGTTCTGGATAGCCTAGATCATATAAACACTGGTCCCCAATAGAATGGAACATTTTAGTCCATAAATTTGTGCATTACCAGAATACCTGTGCACAAATGAATATTTTACACATATTATAGATCATATGTAGATCATATCAACAGACCCTTATAACAGATCCTGAAACTACAATTGGAACATTTTAGGCCATAATCTTGTAGAATCAACCAGGTATTAGCATGATATCAAACCGGGCAAGCCCATTTATATGGGCTAAATATATACTTGTCCGTGGTGAGATACTACCTCATATATTAATTTCAAATATGTTATTATGTTTGAGATTGCATTCACATGAACCAGCCTGGTTGTATTGCCTGGCCCAGCTTCTGCTTGAGCAAGTTGATATCCTGCACTGAGAGTCTCACACTAAAGGTCATAAGCTGGCCAACCAGCTCACTAGAATTTAAAAATCATGTTATAATACACAATTAAGTAAGTAAGTAAGTAAGAGAATAATTAGTAAGAGAATAATTAATACAAGCCTTCTGGAGCTGTTGCCATTAACAAATTAACTGGCATTTCACACAAATTTCCTGCCAACACTTGCCAGGTTAGCCTGACTCCTGTGAAGCAAATGACAAGCTAGCCCTGAAAAGAAAATACAACCATGTTTGATGGCCCATTTTGACAGCCCTTAGCAGGGAGAGCTTATTTTAGGAAGGGAGAGCTTATTTTTGGAAGGGAGAGCTTATTTTCAGAAGCGAGGCCTATTTGTGAGGTTATTGGGGGCTTAATATGAGATTGCATTATTATATAATAATTATGTGTAAAATATTCATTTGTGCACAGGTATTCTGGTAATGCACAAATTTATGGACTAAAATGTTCCAATTATAGTCTCGGGATCTATTGGGGACCAGTGTTTATATGATCTAGGCTATCCAGAACACATGCTTGAAGCCTAATTCATGTTCCCTGTTTGGGATAGAGTGTTTACTGTGTACGGTGAATTTCTTCGCTTCCATATAGCCAGGATTCTGGCAATGGAAACCTCGCACTTAGCCAGGATAGTAGCAGGATAGGATACAACAGACTGTCAAATGTTGTATCCCGCCTAGCCAGATAATATGAACAGGGTCCATTTGTGACTATAGTGAGCCAGATGAAGTAAAAACAATGAAGTTCATATGTCCATATGAAATTTTGATATCTGAACAGCAACATTGAACAAAATCATTCTGTCCCAAAGTCATCCATCTTCCTTAAGTTAGGACAACGAGACCGATGAATATGTTGTCATTGAAGGATTAAAAACAATGAAGACAAGTGTTATTGTCAGACAAACGAAAATGTTTATGTCCACAGGCTGCAACACATGTTGACACATTATCCTGAGGTTGACCAAATGTCGAAATCGACGAAAAACGAGCCAAAAAACAGTTATTGAGCTGATCAATCAAATAAATACTTGGCAAAAGTTTGAAGGTCCATAGTCCAAATATTTGATTAGTTTCTTTAACCCCAATTATACCAACAAAATCTTAAAAATTTCCTGTATTCATATACGCCATATTGATCGCTAAGTCAGCAAGAAATCGACATGTCAACTTGTCCCGGCCCGGAAATGTCCTGTTTACTTGTTACACAGGATATTAATAAGTTAATGTGAAAATATGAAGATAAAGTGTCTTTTAAAAAATAAAACCTCTCAAATCTCGATTTGAAAGGCTTTTAAAAACGCTAATCCATTCGGTATACCTACAAGTTCGAGTGGTGGTGTTTCAGATTGCGCAAGGTAAAGTTTGAAGACCCATATCTTCGCAATCACGCCATTAATCAAAAATCCCCACGAGGAAGTTGAGGAGAATTCTTTTAAGAACAATATATATCAATTTCATGGCAAAAAACCGAAAAAACCGCTTGCAGCAAAGCTCTGAAGTGACCCCATATGTTTGTTTACAAATTTCATGAGATGACCCGTTTTGCGCATTCGGATTGGCTTAGAGCAACAATGTGAACAAAAGCGCTGATTGGTCAAGAACGAAATTCCCCCTTGTTAATGATGAGGGATATATGACATACGGAAATGCATGAATCCTAACACTACCACTATACTGTAACCCTATTCCTAAATCTAATCCAACCCTAATCCAAACACTAACCCTAATCCAAATCAATCCCTAACGCTGCCATCCCCAACCCACCAACCCTAATAGACTGTTACAGTGTTACTTATATAGAAAGAAGTATTGTCCAATCTTTGTGGGACAATGGAGCAGCTATATGATGATATACATCATAGATTAGTGCATTGCCGTATGTTATATATCATCATACATGAAATGAGAGACGATGTTTTCGAGTGACCACATTAATACGATATGTATGCGTTTTCATTTGTATTTACTTTCAACAGCGTTTTCAAGTCGATGCGTTTTCGGTGAATACGCTGAGCGTATTCGAGCGTATTAGTGTATTCGACGGAAGGCCGAAACGCATCGAAATGTATTCGTTTTCAAACGAAACAGAAGAAGAGCTTAGAAGCTTAAGTCAAGATTTGAACTGATCCATGCAAGACAGGATCAAATCTGCATTGTACCTTAACTGCAGATTACGTTCCTCGATTGTAACAAACGCCATGATCTCTTTTTGGTTACGTTACGCAGAAGTACTTTATTTTAAAGTACGTGCTAGAAGTAAAGTCTGCTTTCCAGTTACGCGTTTTTGCACGTGCGTGTACGCACGGAAAAGTTAATATTCCTTTTAACTTTTCCTTATGAAATTACTAGTTGCATAAAAAGACAGCATACAACTTGATGTGTGATTTAATGTGCATTCGTTAAGGTAATTAGTACTTGAATAAAATTTAGAAAGATTTGAACTTGCGTACACGCACGTGGAAAAAACGCGTAACTGGAAAGCAGCCTTAAGTTAAAGCTGCATTTCGATCGCGGTTCAGTCAAACTGCTGCTGGGACCCCGGGGTTCTGTCGAAACCCGGTGCACCCACAGTCGAACAGTGGATGCTTTCGTTAAAAAATTAAACATCGAATTTTCTTTTTCAGTTTTCCGCTAGTGTAGCACTCGCGTTGGAAACCAAGACATTAACGGGAAACCTGCGGCATGAGTTCGTCAGAGATATTTGCACTCATATATCGTCAAACGGCGTGTATTTTCTGAACAAGCTAGAAAGAAACCTGGTCGCCACCGCCATAGTGACAAAATACCCCTTTCTTAAAGATCCCATTGGCAGCGGATTGGTGAGTTTGTTATTATTTGTACTTTTTATTTTTGATTCGAGTTCATTACTCTTTGCGGTTATCCTGAATGAATTTATACGAGGATGGCCGAGCTACGCTAGCAACGATTGCACGGCGCGTGAAAAACCCTTAGGCTATGACGTTATGGCTGAAGTTAACTTTGCTTAGATTGTTGTAACAACATTTATATCTCATGTGCGTCGGTTTTCTTTGTTCGTCCGAGGTTTATAACTAGCTTATATACCTTGAATAAATGATTAGATGAAACTTGTAGACAAAACGCGAGAATTTTTCATTAAAAATTTTTGAAAATGACAAAATATGTTGGAAAACCTCCGCAAATGAGATATAAGTTAGTTATAAACCTCGAAAGTCGGTTTATAACTGATATATTGCCCTCGGACGCTACGCGTCCTCGGGGTCAATATATCAGTTATAAACCTCCTACTCGGTTTATAACTCTAACTTAACTGATGTTGTTTGTGTTGCTTGAAAGGGCTCCTGGGAAGAAGCCATCAAAAACCGGTTCAAACATGTCCGTAAATATGATGCAAAGAAGAGGAAACTCATCAATTCAGATACTACCACACCTACCAAAGCTGCACCACCTGTTAAGAGAACAAAAAAGTCAGATTTCTGGAATGAAGTTCCAAATTATATTAATGAAAACGAGGTCTTTCTCGATGAGCATATTGCAGAGTTAGAAAAGCAATGCTCCAGACCACCAAGCCACCAAGATACCGGAAAAATCAAGCTGCTGATGGCTCAAACTTTTGAATATAGAAGAAAAGAAATCTTGACCACCCTCGTTCCCGTTAAGGACATACTGGCGAAATATCCCCCTCTCGCCACGGCTATGGGGGTAAGTGCTTGGGACTAAATCCAGATCCAAAATACAGTGGAGCGAGTACAGTATTTATTATAAATACGCAGTTATATATTGATTATTTGTTTAAATCTTAAAATTATATAGATTCGTCATGAATTCTGTAGAGTGGTGAAGGACGACAATGCAGTGCTAGAAATCAAGGAAATGTTTACAAAGTACAAGTCAGCAGTTGTTCAATATTGCAAGAAGCTACCCCGAAAAGCGCAATTCGTCAAAAGCCTTCTTAGCTCCTTGCAAGAAGCGACGACAAAGGAACTTGTCTCAGTTGACAGTAAGATAATTTATTGTTATGCATGCGATTCAAATTAATATAGCGCGTATAACACATATTAACAAAATCGTTCAATAAATAATGCAATACAATAGCAAATATAATTATTAATACGTTCCTACAATTTGTAGACATTGAAAGCATGTTCGCGTTGATGGTTCTACCAGAATTATTACGGCTAAAAAACAGGAAAACTCAAAGCAGTCTAGTTGAGATTCTCAGTGTAAGTATTATAGCTATTTAATAATATTTTTAATAAACAGTGATCTTTACAGTTAATTTAGAGAAGGCGAAAGGTTCAGTTAACATCACATAAAAACCACAGTATTTTGCTAAAGTAAAATATCATATTTACTTCATATATTACCTTTACTCTATCTTTCACTGTTGAGAGTTGGAAAATTATTCTTTGTACGGTCTTACGTTCTTTATTGAACAAATTGCTGTTGAATATATGTCAAATCAGCGTACTAGAACGCAGCCATAGTAGGGGTGCACCGGAACTCGGTTCCAGCCGGAACCCCGATTTTTTAGAGTTCCGGTTCCGGCCGGAACTAATAAAAAAAGCATGGCCGGAACCAGAACTCTGTCGTTTTCAGACAGATAGAATATCAAACGTTTTTGTGTCTAACAAAAGGTCATAGTAGGAAGATATTTGGAGTACGCAAGGGAAATGTACACTATTAACACTTCATTATGGTGTTTAACATTTGTCAATCTTTTCATTCTAACATTTGCGAGCTCTCTCCTTGAAGACTTGAAGTGTCTGCCTGTCTGGCAGCAGACAAAGTAACATAGGACTACATATGGCTCAATAAATTAGTTCCGGTTCCGGCCGGAACTTTTTTCCAGTTCCGGTCGAATCCGGTTCCGGCCGGAACTTAAAAAACTGGTTCCGGTGCACCCCTAAATTGCCATAGTGTACTTAAACACTGTTGCTAATCTCTTTTATAGTGGGAAAATATTATGCTACTTTTACGTTTTATTTTTAGGAAGACGATGATTTCCAAGCTTTTGTGAGTGGGACAACTTTTCCGATGCTCATGGGCGTTGGAGAGAACCCGTTGGTTCCCAATCGTCTGGCAATTTGCGTGGAAGGACAAGTTTTGCTAGATGTAACTCATCTCCCAGGAGAGACAGTAATATCATGTTTGTATTGTGTTTACTATATTTTTTCTATTGCTTACCCAGTTGAACACAAAGATTTCTTTTATTTTATCGATTCTTATTTATTTGGATTGGAATGTTCTAACGGACAGAAACGCATTTCTGTCCAAACATTCGTTAAAGATTTGGTACAGTATACGAACAAAGAGTAAGCAGTATTAGGTAGTATTACGTGCTTGTCTCGAGTTGATATGTTAGCGAAGTTTATTGGATAATCTTTTTTTCCAATTTCCACTAAAAATGTACTGTGCATGCGTTATGCCATTTTAATATTTTGGTATTTATAACCAAGAACGTAAAGAAGTAAAGCGTTGCTTGCTATAATGAACGGTCCGTTATTGTATCTATGTTATGGTACTGTACGTTGTATTTATTAATTATTCTTTGCAAAATAATTAAAATTTTTCACCAAGGCATTGCTTGATTACTCGTTTTGTCCATTAATTGCTATACATATGTAACTGACAGAGAACATCTATTTTTACTCCCGAAGACGGAGTAAAATATTTGACTCCATTTGAATGAGTAAACTATTTTACCCCCTAAAATGGAGTAAAGTTTTTACTCCAATAAATAGGGTATGTTTTACCCTCAAAAATGGAGTGAAAAGGTATTTACTCCTTATGCAAGGGTAACTTTTTTACCCCCAAGTCTGTGGGGTAATTTTTACCCTGTTTATAATTAATTCAATTATTACCCCCCAAAACGGGGGATTCTGTGGACACTCAACTACACCCCCATATATAGGGGTAAATTTTACACCTCAGAATTTACAGTGTGGATATGATAGAGATGATACAAGCTGTCCATTAAAAAATAACGGTATTCTATTTCACAAAGCAAAAAAATTAAATCTCACTTGTATTATTAAGAATATATATAAAGCAGAAAATTAAAGCTTGTGTCAAAACGAAAGTTATTTATAAAATTTATAAATGTGGTATAAACACAGTACCAAACAGTGCTCATTGAAAGACACAAATATATTGTCGTTTGACTTATTACGTTTGACGTTAATTTGTTAGCCAACAATGGCGGATGGTCAGGCATATGAGTGCTCCCCGAAATTTGGCTCCTCTTCGTCGCAAAATCACTCACGGGTTTGTAATTCGACTAATAAATCAACATGTAGTAATGGGCAAGATAACTCAGTGGCAAAAAGTAGCTTAAAACTAACGTGGACGGGAGATTATTTATCGCTGAAATCGTTTGTATGCAACACTATGAAACTACAAGGCGATTGGACCCAACCTGGCGGTGATAAAAAGGTTTTCATTGGTAAATCGTTCCGTATTACGTGGAGGAAAGGTAAAAAACTACTTATAATTTTGAAGGCACAGACTCAAATAAAATCAAACGAGCCTTTTGTATTGAACTCTGCGACATCCACGAGTTCAAACAAGACATTCAGCGTGTAAATCCGGTAGCTACGTGTATTGATATTTGCTCGATGACGTGTAAATGCGGTGAGTTGTCTGCTGATCTTGAGGGCGTCAAGTTAGAGCAAGTAATATCTCAAAATGATATTAAGGTCAATAACCATAATGTGGGAATGCTTAATGATGTAGTAAGCAACTTAAAGAAAGAGGTCTATGCTATGCGGGAAAAGTTGGATAAACATGTAGATAGCCAGGTTCTATATTCATCAAAAGTTGTTGATTGCTCAACTCAGACGACTGAAAATCTGAAATACCTGATTATAATGACCATAACAACAAAGGCCAAATGTTGAGTGAGTTTGAACATATTAAAAATTGCAAAACAATTTCTCACATTCAAAGTTTAATCTGTGATAATAAATCTATTAAGCCTAAGGAATTTACACATCAAACGAACAGGGTAACATTAGATGCTAGCATAAACTCGTCACCTCGGAATGCGGACGACAATAGAATTTCCAATTTGAAAGGATTCTCTCAGCCATGTAATTTTGATGGAATTTCAAGTAATCCATCCCAAAGTGACATGTCCGGAAATCATGAGAGTACACAAAATAACAAACCAATTCCAACTCGAATTACATGCCGATCCGAAAATCGATCGAAGAAATGGCATGAGAAAACAAATCGGGACTGTGCTTTTAACAAGTACTGGACAGTCAATAATATATGCTCACCGCAACAGGAGCAAAGGAGTGTATCTAGCAATGGTAAATTGGCTAAACGAAATAAAAAAGCGGATTTTTGTACCCATCACAAGCGAAATCGAATCAGACACAAATTGATTTGGTTCAACTATTATTATTGAATAGTTTCCCTGTACCCCCTCAACTGTATTTTAATCAACCCTGCTGAACTCCCCATTAATTGTAACAGTAGTCCAAATGACCAACGCGAGAAGTATGCTGTGACGAGTAGTAACTATCGAAAATCGAAAATTACACTTGCGCATCTTAACGTACGTTCTTTAAAGAATAGGGAACATTTTTTACAGATAAAGGATATGATACATGAGGAAAATTATGATATATTTGCGGTTTCGGAATCATGGCTCAATTCAACAGTGCGGAATGCAGAGATTGAAATTACTGGATATCGTCTGTCTCGACTAGACAGATTGGGAAAATCTGGAGGACGGGTTTGTGTTTTTGTTAAAAGTACATTGAAATACACGGTTTTAAAAGATTTAACCGAAATCTCCGATTCCGGTTTCCACCAATTGTGGATACAAATCCAGCACAAGAAACTTAGATCGATATTGTTATGTGTTTGTTACAGACCTCCTGATTGTCCGGTTTCGTGCTTTACGAATAATTTTATGGCTGAATACACAAGGGCACTTATATATGGTAAAGATATTTTGGTTGTGGGAGACTTAAACTGCAATTTGTTAAAAACAACCCAAGAAGCGGAGGCATTGAGAGATATGTGCTGTAGTTTAAATCTCGTGCAATTAATCGATAAACTTACGCGGGTAACATTGCAGTCATCCAGCCTGATAGATGTGATCATGACATCCAGTGAAAGTACTCTGATTGTGAAAAGTGGAGTAGAAGAAGTTAACATTAGTGATCATTTCTTGGTTAGTTGTGAACTTAATTTAAAAAAGCCAAAACTAAAACCAACATATATCAATGCACGAAGTTTTAAAGATTACGATCGGAATCAATTTGTCATGGATTTAGCACAAATTCCTTGGCATGAAAATTTTTCAATTGACGATGTGAATGAAAAACTCTCCTCATTTAATGGTCACTTTTTGAGTATCTTGGAAAAACATGCACCGGTTAAGAGCATGAAAATAAGATACCGCCGGTGTCCATTTATGAGTAAAGAGATTAAAGAACTTATGAAAAATAGAGATAAATTACATAAGCTTGCACGACGAACCAAGATGACAACAGATTGGGAAAATTACCGTGTTTGTAGACAGGCTGTAAAAAAGGCGTTACGTGAATCTGAAAAAAAGTATGTACAGAATGAATTTCATAAAAATTTAAACAGAAGTTCTATGTGGAAATTTATAAAGAACTGCCTACCCCGTAAAGAGTCAACGGAACTTAAGTATTCAAGAAATATCACGGAACTAGTGGAGGAGTTCAATTCCTTTTTCACGACAGTGGGAATTAAAGCATCAGAGTCTGCTACTGCACTTTTAACTAAATATAACCTACCAACCATAGACTTACCAGTACCTGCTCAAATTCCTGTGTCAGATCAATTTCATTTCCATCCGGTTTCATGTAGTGATGTACAGCAGATCACCATGTCTTTTTCCTCAAATAAGGCACCGGGATTAGATAAAGTCCCAATGAGTATTATCAAAGATGCCTTACCATGTATCCTCCCTGCGTTAACAGATATTGTTAATTGTTCATTGCTTACGTCCGAATATCCAACATTATGGAAGATGGCAGAAGTTGTTCCCCTCTTAAAAGATGGGGATCATGAGATCGCAGACAATAATCGTCCTGTGTCTTTGCTAATTGCAGTGTCAAAGATTTGTGAACGAGTTGTATTGAATCAATTGACTGACTATATGTCACAAAGGAAAAGATATACTGAACACCAAAGTGGCAATCGAAAATTACATTCTACAGAAACATTAAAATTTTTTATAACAGATCAAATCTTGCAGTCTATAGATCGTAAAGAAGTTACGGGCTTAGTTTTAATACACTTATCCAAAGCATTTGATAGCATAGATCATTCAATTCTACTAGTGAAACTTCAAACCATTGGTGTGTCTAAATCAGTGTTGGCATGGTTTAAAAGTTATCTATCGGGACGAAGTCAAATAGTACGTATTGGGTCGACATTGTCGGAAACATGTATTATAACTCGAGGGGTACCTCAAGGATCTATTCTTGGGCCGGCATTATTTAACATATATATTAATGACCTGCCCAATGTTCCAAAAGAGTCCTCTTTGGAATCTTATCTGGATGATTCGAAAATCTATTTGGCATTTCCAATTCAGGATATTGAAACTGCTGCGTTTAAACTTACACAAGATATGAAAAGAATTACCGCATGGTGCTGTATAAATAGTCTGCTAGTGAATCCAAAGAAGCCGAAACTCCTATTACTGGGCACGGATTTCCATATAACTGTTCTTGGTGAGAAAATAATCCCAATTCAGACGGTTAAAGATTTGGGAATGACTTTGGATTCAACTTTGACTTACGACAAACATATTGTCGATACCGTCTCAAAATGCATCACTGAATTATGCCAAATCAACAGAGTTAAGCATATTTTCGACAAGCACACTTTATCCCTCATTATAAATGCACTGGTCTTCAGTAAAATGTATTATTGTTCCTCCGTTTGGTGGAACACCTCGAAAAAGAATATATCAAAACTCCAAAGCGTGCAGAACTTCGCGGCACGCGTTATTACTGGAATCAGAAAATATGACCATGTGACGCCTATCCTTCATCAGTTAGCTTGGCTTCCAGTTGAGTGTATGTTAAAACTCAGGGATGCGGTTATGACATTTAAGTGCATGAAAGGGTTAGCTCCGCCATACTTGTGTGACAAATTCGAAATGTGATTAAAGATCCACAGTGTTAACACCAGAAAGAAGGATAAGTTAGACATTCCACTGTATAATTCGGCTTCTGGACAGCGAACGTTTCATTATCGCGCAGTGTCTATTTGGAATGAGCTCCCAAATCATATTAAAGACATTGACACTTTGAATATAAACGTCATTTATTGCATGGATTTTTAGAAAGTAGTTAATAGTTTTAGACAATTTGGACTTGTTTAAATTAGCATATAAACGTTTTTACTGTATGGATTTTATTAGGAAGTAGTTAATCATTTTTAAAGTGACATTACTAATAATTATAAAACTTTTAATTTGTGTTTGTATGTATGTACGTATGTTTGTGGGTGTACATATATACAGGGTGTATAAAAAAAAACGCAACCTCGGAATTTCCTAAGAAATCACTTTGCAATTCTTAAGCATAAAAGATTTTAGGCCCCTGGGAATTGAAATCGAATTGCTAATAGATCATATTACTGTTGTTGTGCATTAAATAAATGCATAAATTTTGTTTTATGCACTCGCGTGTGCAGTAATTTTGACAGTTATGCTATTTTAAATTCCCAGGCGCCTAAAATCTTTTGTCTTTAAAACAATGTCGATTTCTTGGGAAATTCCGAGGTTGCGCTTTTTTTGATACACCCTGTATATATATATATATATTGTTTGTAATATGTAAATGATTTGTAATTACCTGCTGAAGAGCCCTTTTGGGAGCAGGCAATATTGTAATAATAATAATAATTAGTTTCCTTTAAACGCTTGATTCTCTTACATTTGGACACAAAGTACCTTTTTCGGTCTTTTCGCTTCCTGATCTCGATGAACGACCCTTTGAGAAACGGACATTCAGGAATTTCACGCAAGGTATTTGCCAAAATTTCTGTCTGAATTCAGCTGAGACTATAATGTACAGATAAGGGTTGCACGCGCTATTGGTGACCAAAAGTACATCAATAATGTGTTGAAAGTACAAGGGCATATCCTCGTCTCCTGTGATCCACTGCCATGTTCGACCAATGGTGAGAGGCAGCATACAGAGAAATAAAACAATGACAACAGGCCATAACATCTTGAGAGCTTTCATATTCTTCATTAACCTAATAATAACAATAATTATTTGAGATTGAGATTGAGATACAAGTTTTTAGATATATCTACAAAATAATCAGTGCTCTTCAGCCTGTTTCGCTTCCTGGGACGTTATTATGACCAAGGGGCAAATCACTCCGAAAAAAAGTACGAAATAAAAAAATCGTATAATTTTCTTCTAATTTTTTGGTGATGTTTTCCCATTGTAACACTTTTCTTCAATTTTTAAAGGTAAACATTATTAACTAAGAATTGATTTAGTGTGATAAATTTTAAAGTATAGGGCAAGTTTGTTTCAATTGTTTATGTATGCATGACTTTGTTTTAATGTAGATTTTGTTCTTGTTGTTCAAGTCTTTCCTATACATTGTATGCGAAAGTTTCATAGTTAAATTAACTTTTGTAAAAGTTCATGATAAAAAGGAAAGCAAATTATTTTTATTAGCGTCCTGTTCAAATTAAATTTATTTCATTTCAAAGTGCGAGTATTAATAAGTTGAATAATAATAATAATAATAATATTTAATGTTTATATTGCGCAAACTAACATGTTATAGTATATGAAGAGATTAATATCGGCAAAAAGCCGTTAAAATTCAATTCACATTTAAAAACGTTTTTAATACGTAGTTTCGTTTCGAATTTTACATTAAAAAAAAGCCGATAGAAACCAAAATAATATACCTACTTTATATATTTTAGATATTGATAGTTCT